GGGTCTGCACTTAGGCTGGGCTTTAGCTTTGGGCGGCAGTGAACCCGGTCACGGGGGCAGACTGGGCCTGGGCTGTGCTTTAACGTCGCTTCAGAGCTCCCGGCTGCGGCGCAGCGCCGGGGCATCGCGCCGGGCTCCGCTTACCGGCCCTCCTCTCGGGCGCTGCTGGAAGCGCCCTGCTGCCCGCAGTTACCTGTGCGTGCCGCAGGTGAGGGAACGGGCCACACCGCTGCTGCACAGGATGCACCGTTTGTTGCCTTCACACCCCCTGCTCTTGGGTACCCGAGTGCTCCAGCCCAGGTAGCCTGGTTTTGGCAAAATAAGCTTGCAGTGTAACAATGTATTTTTTTGATGAGTTGTAGCTTAACTGCTACCAGTTCAAAATTAGTTTCCTTGTGCTGTTCTGCGGACCCAGCACTACCTAGCCTTGGGGACGTGCTCTATCTCTTTCTAGGGAAGGACCCATGCAGTTGTCCCCTGAAGGGTTTGAGGCTTTTGCTTGTTTCTAATTCTTTAAATACCCTATTTCTTAAGCTGCCGGGTCACATTACAGCTCTAAACCCAACAGCTTCAGCTACTGCTGAGGGCAGCATGGGTGCTATCGAGGCGGTCTGTCCCCTGCTCTCTGTGGTGGGACAGGATGGGTGAGAAGGTTCTCAGGATCCTCTTCTGTTACTTGCAGGTTCCCTGGAACTAAAGAGGTCTCTGGAACTAAAGCTGTGGCTTCTTGGTCCTTATTTCAATAAAAGTTAACTGTAAACAACCTCTAAGCTAAATTGTACTTTGTTTTTGAGTACTGTAGGATTTCTGGAGAATGAACGTTACAGCTTCAGAGGTGGGGTACTTGAGCTTCTGTAATGTTCGCTCAATATATAATGTGCTGCCCCCAAGAAACAAGGTTTCAGAGAGTGATCTAAAGCTTCCACGAGTGCATAGTAGGTAAGGATCCCACCATTAAAGCTCTGCCAAATAACCACTGGCTGGGGGGAAATAAAACTTCTCCATGTTAGAACTGTGGAGAAGCAAACTTAAAGACATTTTACTGAAACCCTGTCACCAAACAACAGTTGGAATAACAGTTGCCATAGGAGCAGGGGAAGTTACCCTGACAAGAAGCCAGACGAAGGGGTTACCAGGCTTTCCCCAGGGTGAGGGGGGATCGCCCTTGGCTATTATTGAAGTCCAGAATAATCCCTGTGCAGTGAAACCTTCTGCAAAGGTAGAAATGCCTTGGGGCGAGAGGCAGGGGTCCAGCACAAGGAAGGCATCCCTCTGCTGGTTTTTTGGTTTGGGTTCCCCCCTCCCTCTTTTCCTTCCAGAGCTACATTCTACAGGAACAACATCAAAGTAAATTTTTCACTCACTCCCCTTAACCACCTTAGTTGTGCCTCTGGAACTTCACGGAGAGGAGGAGTTGTGAATTACACAATAAACAATCTCCTTCAGACTTTTCCATGCAGTCAATCTTTATTATAGCAGTATTCTCATATTCACATCAAGTACATAGAACTTTTTGCCTTTTATATAATACAGAGTTCTTTAAATAACTTTACACAGAAATAGTTTTCTTCAATCTGAATTCAGCTATCAAATTTTAATATGTTTTAAGTCTCCATGCTCTCTAACCAAACTGGACAATATTTCCCATTGTACAAATTTACATGAGAAAAACTCCAAAGTACAAATGAAGGGACAACAAAAGTAAAGGGGGAAGGAGCAAACAAGAAAAATAAGTTGTATTGGCAATTACAGGGGAAACTTGAGAAGGAAAGAAGGGGAGTTGCCATGACCTATGTAACAGGAAACCGAAAATAAACATTTTGTTATGAATTAAAAAATAAATACAAGTTTCAAAACAATTAACTCCATCCTAGATTTTAAAAAGCAGCTATGGAAATCTACTAACACAATTGGGTTTTTTTTAAGTAACCAGACTGGACCTTCTACTTTGCAGTCATAAGCCCCTCGCAAACCTCTGGTGGTAAAAAAAAAAAAAAGAAAGAAAGAAAAGAGCAGAAAGGAATGTGTTAGCACAGAGTTTAAATTGGTGGGACATACAATTCATTGCACTAAGGAACGAACAAACAAAAGAAATCAAATCTGTATATAAATTTCCCTTTTCCTCTCCTTACTAGATACTTTGCCTCTCATAAACAAGCCTCTGTATTATGAGGTAATGCCATTGTCTTGACTACATATATAAAAATAATCAAGTTTAAAGGATATAGATCTGTGTATCTATACACTTTAAACAAGCCAGTCCTCTCTTACTCCCCCCTAGGCTCCAACTACCGAGTGCTACACCTTCCATCACTTTTTAATTAAACGTATGCGTTGCACCTCTCATGGAAACCCCCCAAGAGACCGGTGCACCTTTCCTACTCTAGGAAAAGCAGCGTGCGCTCAAGTAAGAAAGAGAGAGAGTGCAAGTAACGCGCGACAAATTACAAACACGTACACACCCGCTCCTTCAGAACAAGGCAGAGTCACAGAAGGCAGCAGTGGCCAGCCTGCACGCGTGTGCTGACAAAGGGGAAAAGGGGGCCCCTTAGGATCACTTCTGCAAGGGCTTAAGAAAAATGTCACCTGCCCGGCCCCGGGGAGCCTGTCGCTACACCTGAACCGAGGTGGGGAGGGAAGTTCCAACCGAAAGATGAAGGGCCAGGAGGAGGGCTGTACTCGCAGCCGGGATGACCGCCCCGCACGTGGGGCTGCCTCGTGCGCTTCCCCAGTAGCAGCAGACCCTGCTCCAGCGGCACGGGTCAGCACAAGGGATTTCGAGGGCGGCAAGAAGTAGGGGGCAGGACTTTCTTCAGTCCCAAGAAATGAGATTGGAAGAAAAGCAACGCTAATCTGGGTTGCCCACGCGTGCAAGTTGGCCACTGTCAGGTTTCTGTCAGTTGAGGAGAAGTGTGGAGAGGGGGAAGGAAGGGGAGGCAGGTAGGACAAAAGGCTCATGAAGGAATGATGTGCATTTTTTTTCGGGTTTTTTTTGTGTGGAGTCCCAAGAAATGAGATTGGAAGAAAAGCAACGCTAATCTGGGTTGCCCACGCGTGCAAGTTGGCCACTGTCAGGTTTCTGTCAGTTGAGGAGAAGTGTGGAGAGGGGGAAGGAAGGGGAGGCAGGTAGGACAAAAGGCTCATGAAGGAATGATGTGCATTTTTTTTCGTTTTTTTTTTTTTGTGTGTTTTTTTTTTTTCCCTAAAGGTTCACAGCTTTGAATTAAAAAAAAAAAGCACATTTATTGCACTTACTTACATTTTATTTTAGACAGAATTCATTTAAATTATGCCCCCGCAACCCCCCACCATCCCAAAATAACCCATCACCCAAGTTTGGTCCATTTTGCCCCGTGCCCAGATGGTGGGCTTCATTTCTTCTAATGTTCTGGTGAACTCCCAAACACACAGACAGATTCTCTTTTCAACTAGGGTGAATACACAAATGCAACACAGAATGACATTTATCAAAACAAAACCCAACCATTTTCCAAGCCCAAACGAAAAGAAGAAAACATAAGTTATTTTTTGTGTTTTACTTGCTCAAAAGTAAATGTCACACGAGGCTTTTTCTAACGTACAGCTGCTGCAAACACGACAAACTAGACAAAATGACCGGACAGGCCACTGTGGGCTCTTAAGGAGGCTGGATGAGCCGAACACACCGCTGCTGTGAGGCTATGAAGCAAATGCTTAGGTAGTTTAGAAGTTTCTAAATGCTCCCATCAGCTCCCTTCTCTTAGGGAAATAGTTTGTGATTTTGTTTGAAAACAGACAAAACACCCATCTTCTCACATCTACTTTTAGCGCAGAACTTGGGGTAGGCAGAAGGACTCCAGATAGTTCCTGGAACCTTAGTCAAATGTTTTTACATTTTGCTTTCTAAAAGGAACAAAACCAAATTAAAATTGGTCTGGTATTTTGCATGAACTGTGCATTTAAACATAACTTCATAATTTACAATTATGCCCAAAATCTTGCCCCAAAGAAGAAAAGGAAAAGATCTGAAAAAGCTGTCATACCAAAAACCCTGTTATTTTGTCCTTTATGGACAAGTAGGTTAAACATGACACCGCTACGTAGGTACTGCCAGAAGTCTACATAACCGGTTTGAAACTCAAACAAATCAGATTCAAACATAGTGGTTGTCCCTCAGCTGACAAGACATCTGCCATCTCCCATGGTTAACGTGCAATAGCAGTATGTGATGGCTGAAGAGGCCCGAGGAGGAACTAAGGAAACCTGCTGATATTCCAGAAAACAAAATTAATTGCACTTTCTAGGCCAGGGAATTAACAGTATGGTCTGATATATGTGCACTTCGATTACATGAGTACTAACCATCAATTTCTCCTCATCTGGCTCTCATTTTTCATCTACCATCTCATTCCAAGATGCTGTGACAGTGTGACTTTGGGCCTCTTTGGAGTTCTCTGTTACCTTCCTTTAACAAGATCTTTGTGTCTTTGGAGAGGGAGGAGGGCTTATTTATTTTTAACTTAAATGAACCTCATTTAACTTCCAATGGAGCAGATTTCAACCAGCAGGTTTACTGTGATTGAATTAGGTATCCTTCACTTCCTAGCTCTGAAATGATCGTAGGTATTTTGGGGAATGCTCTCTGCCCTCCTTACCCCTTTACAGAGTTTTACCAACTCCAAACTCCCTATCTATAGTAACAGCTATGTACAAAACTACTGCATCAGAAGTAAACCAAAGCCACTGCTCTAGTTACAAAGCACCCGGTTTACATTCTGTTGTACTTTTTAAGGTTGCGAAGGCACATGATCATTTGGCAAACTCCAAAGACTCTTTTGGGGGATCCCTGTGTAAACCATTTAACAGAGGGTCCTGGTAGCTCTCTCTTCTGAAGAAGAGAGATATATGCTACTTTTCATCTGAGTTCGCTCTTGGTGTACTCTATATTCTGCAGTTTTTAAAGTTTCCTCCTTCCACAGTTCCTTACTGCTGTCATGGTACTGACTTGGTAGCTTCTGTGTTAGCATCCTTGAAACTTAAATGCAAGGGAGAAGTTTCAACAACTTTGCTCTGCTCTCCTGATAATTTTATTTACTAGGTAAGAAGTAATGAGGAAAGATACTTCAAATGCATGCCAAAACAAAGATGAAGTGCAAATGCATATTAACAAGGCTGCAGTAAACAGAAAGTTCGTTTCATAAACTCCTACGTAAAATGTGTAACAGAAAACCAGAACGCCCAGCACCTTCAAAGCGATGCCGTAACAGTCCGCTCATGCGACTGCTTTTTAACTGAACTTGACTGTACCGAGAAGCTTTGCCTGTCGCATTGTGCTACTGGTGATACTTTTTTCAACAGACAGAAGACATGTCGTCTACAGTACTGTGAATAGTTTGTGCTACACATGCTGCACTCACAGTCAAAGAAGGGAATGAAATCTATAGGCTGCAGAAGTGTGAAATGTCTACATGCTTCTTCCCTAAATTTAGCCCCTCCAGCTCTCAAAACTTCAACTTGTACTTGTTTGTGAGGTTTCTGGGGATCTGGCTTCCCCAAATGTTCTGTAAAATGCTGGATGCATTTACATCACCAGGCAAACACAGAAGCAAACCTATTTATGCATGACCTCCAGTGTATTTTTTCCCCACAATTTGGGCATTTGTGGAAAGACGTGGTATTTATCAACAGTCAGCATTTCACTCATTTTATGTCATGATGGCCAAATTCTGCCGCTAAAGAGCACATACTAATCCAAGTGATGTTGAGAGGCCATGGTAAGATGGCAGTATCTGGCCTCAAACATTCTGCATCATCATCAGCTGCTAGAGCATTCAAGTACAAGAAAAAGCTGATTTTAGGTAAGCAGAAAAAGCAGAAGTGGATTCAGTTAATGACCTGCATGAGTTAAGCAAAAAAGAAATGACTGGGCTAATTTAAAATAACCAGGCCTCTGTACTCATACCATTTGGTTTAAGCTCCACTACAATGTTCCAGTTCCAGCAAATACACCGCGGGAAACAGTCACAAACTGACAGGGAAGGTGTAACAGACAACAGGCCTCTTCTAACTGTTTGGAAAAGGAAAGGCAGAGGGGAAGGTCTATGTGTGATCAATAAAGAGACAAATAGCTGGGATTGGATGCTGGTAGGTTTGCAAATAATTATTAGATACTAGATACCGTAGAGCTAAAAGCAGTATGACTGGCTAGATGTTAGTCCCAAGACATGCTCATGGAACACGTACTAACATTTCCGTACTACGGTATGTGCCTTGGTGGCTGGGACACCACAGAGAAGCTTAAAGAAATTTGGTGTAAGGGACATGAATGTATCGGTCATTTCAGTTTACTTCCTTCATCCCACTGCTATACACGGCACTCAGTTCTTGTCTACTCTTCTCTCCCCATTCACTAAACATCTACAGGGCACCTTTAAGACTGGTTCTGATGGCATGCAAGACATCCAGAAAAACTCCTGAAGGAAAAGATAGAAAAAATTAATAATCCCAATTATTTACAACCCAAATTTCTTCCAAGGTTTTGCATGAGTATTATGTGGGACCCCTTACAGACGAACACACATTGCTACAGCTATCTGGAGGGAAGCAAACAAACGTGAAAACCAGTAGAAATGCATCCTGAAAGGACTTCTCTAAACAGCAGCCAAACAACTTGCACATTCCTCAGGGAAAAAAAACCAAACCAAAACAGAAAAAACAAAACTACAACAAACAACCCCCTATAAAAAAACCCCAGAGATCATGTGTTACTTATAAAGTGCTTTGCATGGACAAGGATAGCAATTTTCCTTGTGCTTTTCCTATGGGCTCAAGAAGCATGTTGTAGACTAATGGGTAATGAATCTTCACAAAAATAAGTTCATTTTAAGCAGAGATAGAATGAAATTCCTAACAGTTACATTTTAGCAGACAATCTTCTAACCAGCACAACCTTGTGGAAGGAAACTAGGGCTTTTAACAAGCTCTGTGAAACAAATGACTGTTGTTGAACCACCTGTACACACTTGCTCCGATAACAGCTTCTTTCGAGAGAACATTGATTTCCAGCACGCCTGCCACGTACAAATTAGAGCACAGCCCATACAGGGGCTGGAGCGATGCGTGGGGTGGAAGGAGAATGAGCAGTGACTACTTCACCCTCTGGGAGGCTGGATCTGTACCTGCTCTCACCCGCCTGCTGACCCCAGCGGCCCCCGGGCTCCTTCCACCTCTTAGGCATTGGCCTCAGATGATCGCCAGGGAGCACTCCGATTTCAGCCGCCTGCACACCACCGCTCGCTCATGAGCTTCTCCACACTGGGAAATGGCTATTGCTACTATTTAAATTCCTGCCAATCTCAATGAGGAAAAAAAAAACCAAAAACCAAACCTTACAGCATCTGAAGACCCACAGCAGACAAGAAAAAATTTGTGCTTTTTTTCTTTTGTTTTTAAAATGCATCCTGTACACAAAATCAATTCTATTCATGTACCAACATGAATCACTTCATTCTTGTAGTGACTATTAAGTCATTCACTATTGCTGTCTTGCTAATGTTTGTGGAATTAATATGAATACACAGTATTTCAGTTATAATTCCCACTTCAGATTAGTCCGGTCCCTATAACCCCAGTAAATATTTACTGACAAACTAACAGTCTACCAGCAACACCGCAGAACTCCAGGGGTTTAAAAGCACGTTCCACTACTGATGTGCATTTCTCCCTTTGCCTGGGAGCAACCCTCTGCAGACAGAAACAGTCCACCTCTCCGAGGGAGGGAAGGACAGCACCCTCACCCAATACACCCAATGTTTAGCACGGACACTGCATTCACACACATTTAACTCCTTCATGTATTTGTCACGGTTTTGTTTAACGACCCCACCCCCCCCGCCTCCCCCCAGCAAGAACCTCCCTGCTAGAGGTTCTCCTGCCTCACCTGCAGCGGTACAGGGCAGACACGAATCAAATTCTGAAAACTTCTGTCTGAGCTTGAACTTCTTTCTAATGTGGTCTGACTTGCCTCTGTACAAATAATTTACATGTAATACCACATACCAGAGAACTCTGCAAACAGATCACATCACAAGATAACTCTACTAGAGGTAAACGATGTGCAGAACTTTTATGAGTTGTTTTTTTTTCCCTGACTGGGTAACTCATCAAAAAGCTACCAACCATTTGAAAACCAGGATTGGAGGACAGGAAAACAAAGCACTCTAATGGAGATACCGCCACCTTCACCCTAGCCCGCAAAGTGTACAAAGGGGAAAGACAAACGGAAGGGAAGAGACGACAGGGAAGAAAGCAATGAGAGGAGAAGTAGTCAGCGTGGATCCAGCAAGTACCGTTTTGTTTTGATCTAACAACTTGCCATTAGGACAAGATGCTCCACATTTATACACACACTTATCAGAGGATGTTTAGTTAACAGGATAAAAATCCTTTAAAAAAAGCTCTTCAAAGTACCAAAACATAATTTTTGGAATGTCTAATTCTAGGGGGTTTTGTATTTGTATTCAATTCAACCTGAGAACTTTTTTCCCCGTTTATGAAAACATTACATATTGGTAAGGTACCTGGCATTAACCTGCACCCTCGTTTAAAATAAAACTTTTAACGTAGGTACATACACCGTTCACAGTCTGTATCAGGAATTCTACAGACTTTCAGATGCTGTGGTAGCATCTTTGATAAATACATTGTATCATATGATACAAAAGAAAAAAAATAAAAGAGAGGACAATCTCGCTACATTTATTTTTTCTTTTTAAACTTCAGTTTGTTGCTGGACCAACAAAAGAAGGATCTACCTAATCCTTCTAAAAGATGTTGTATATGCACACACCAAGAAAATACTGGAAAAGGAAAAAGGTTAAGGTTGGTGGTTGTTGTTTGTTTTTTGAAGAAGTGATAAAGTAAATCTGAATAAAGGTGCAGCAGCATCCCCTTTTCCTTCAGATTAACCTCTTCGCCTTCAGAGAAACATCTTCTCCAGCCCCCATCACCCCACGCTTTTAATTTTACTGGAATAAACCCCAGTAAAGTAGACAGATTTAGGTGCTTGACATTGTAATACAGTGAAAAGGGGATACTGCATTGTCCATAAATCAGTGAGTACACCAGGAAAAAAAAGAGATCAGAACGGAGGATGATTCTTTTAAATTAGCACTCATCAGATTTTCAGCCTCTGATGGTACGTTGTTAGAGGGAGAAAGCCGACCGGCAGACCATCCAAAGCAAGTCTCCTAAGTTGCAGCAGCAGTTCCATCCCCTCATGCCCGAGCACCACAGTCAAACCACGAGCGCCCTCGCCTCTCTCCTGGGAATGATGCCAACAGCACAGGCAGCCACTGCGGGTCTCCGAATGCACGTGGTGGTTTGTGTTGAAGGAGAAACACTGGCAGCAGAGGATTCTGGTTCCCAAAAAGGTACTTTTTCCCATTGTGTTGGACTGGCAGTTCTATTCTGCTCCACTTTTAAGCTTATGGATATCTTTTCTAAATTACTTTAGGTTTTGCGGAGCAGAATAGAGTTTTGATGTTAAGAAACTGTAGGAACACAAGACTTAAATAACAGAGTGGGTGCTGCCATGGTGCTGTGGCTACTTGAACGCTGCAAATTCTCCTGTAGAGGGAGGACAAGAGCTTGGTTTAAAAAAGTGATATCAGTTACTAGGCGGTCAGAGATTTTCTCCAGACTAGTCAAACATTAGGCTTAACATAACAGGTGTTAAAAAATGCAGACTGTTAAAATTAATGCACAAAAGAATACATAGTGAGAGGACATTGAATACAGACCCAGCATATTTTACCGAAAAAGCATTTCTTGAAAGCCAGCGGTACCCATTCTTCCCAGGACAGAGGTTCAAGCAAAGTCTAATTCGTCATGCATTTGAAAATAAAATGCATCAGTTTAGTTTCACTTTACCCCCCCTATTGCACATACATCCTCCTGAAAAGCGACAATTGCAATAAATGTGCCAGACTGCAAACTAATTTCTATTCTGCTGTAAAACTGGTTTAATAACAAAGAACTACCTGACATGCCCATTAACCTTTAAAGACCATATACAGTAAAGTGCCCGAATATTAAACCATTATTAAAGAATGCTAGAATCTGATTTAGCGACCAACACAGCAACCTATGGTAAGAAGAACTAAGAATGGTGGGATTGGCTACTCACTCCTCCCAGACCAGAAACTGGGCCTCACTAATAAGGAGCACAACAAATAAAGTGACCCCGTGCTTTCTTCAGAACTGTTGAATAAACAATGATTCTGTGCAGTGCTTTCACATGCAGTGATCTCCTGAAACTCTACACAGTTTATTTAGTGTCAGCATGCCGTGAGATAGGCTGGTAGTCCCACTTCAGAGACGATGAAACTACAGCACAGAGTAAAATGCTGCCCAAAGTCTTAAGAATTTTGCCCGAGCCTTGAATAGAAGCCAAAACTAAGATACTCATCCTCTTCATCTTTCACTTCAGCCAAAAAATCTCCCTGCCACCCACAAAGAAACTGTATTCTACAGGATTTGTAGGGATGGGTGTCCAACTATGCTTAACCAAAAGGACTCAGGAGTGAGAGAAAAAAAAACGTACATACAACTTCCTTGTGTTGGCTTTCACAGGAATTTTGGGTTAGTTTATGCCCTGTTCTTGACAGCACTCCTCAGAGCTCTCCTAAAAATGCAGGAGTGATAAGCAGAGATGAGAGACCCTTTGTTTTGTTTAGCAGGAGCGTGCTGAATGCCACCACATCCAAACTGCTCCCTGTCTTGGTGTCCTTCCCATCCTTTCATGAGCAAGTGTTTTGTTGGCTTTGTTTTTTCTTAAGATTCTTATTCTGAATATTGGAAACAAACCAGAAATATCCCTCCAAACAGAATTTTAAGCTGAGAGCATTAATGCCATGGAACATCTTGCTTTATAAAGAAGAGAACCAAGAAGAGTGATCAAGAAGAGTCTGCATGGCGAGTGGGACGAAAAAGCATCTACAGGGCCTGGCAGGAACAACTGATCCAGCTGATCTAAAGGAACATGAAGAAAGCAGGGAGAGGGCTCTGTGCTTCGCAGGGAATGAGAGAGCTGAGGTCTAAAGCAAAGGTGGAAGACCTCAACTAAAGGTGGAAGACCTGTGACAGAGCGTGAGCTCCATGTGTCTTGACAGACTGTGTTGGTAGGTTTAAGTTACAAAAGAACAAAAACTTTACAATGGATCTAATCACCTATTTTACTAGTTCTACCAACAGATAAAACTACTTGCTCTAAAATATTCTATTTGATAATTTTCCTTGCTTCTCTCTGCCACATTTCACCGATCTCCCAACTCTCTTTACAGTATCTTCTAGAAACACCTCAATTTTTGTACTTTTTTTTTCTTTTGAGAGAAGGACAAAAAAGTCATCGAGTATTGCCTGCGAGGCTAATTTTTAAGAATGACATCCATGCTTAGCTACACTTTCAAAACATGCTCTACTTAATTTATTTTTCCATCTGCTTTCCTAAACTGCTGATTAAAGATCAATTTATAAACTAGAGATTGCTCCCTCATTACTCATCTTGTCCTTCTGCCCATTTCTGGTAATAATTCAGCTTTTAATAGTTGTACAGGGATTTCAGAAGATAGAAGATGAACGATTAATTGGGAAAGGGCAATGGAAAAACAGGATCAGAAGTCAAGAAGCATTTCAGATAGGAAAAAAAAGAAAGGTGATTTTCAGAATTTTCTTCCATTTAAATAAAACCTTAGCAAAGACTTTTTTTTTTTTTTTTTTTTGACAAGCTAATGCTAAATCTCCCCTTTCAAAATTCAGGTGCTAATCTGATCTCAAATCAATAGGAGACCAAAATAGGTAACATGTTCATCTAACAATGGGATTAAAAAATTTTTTTTTTTTTTTTTTTTTTTGACAAGCTAATGCTAAATCTCCCCTTTCAAAATTCAGGTGCTAATCTGATCTCAAATCAATAGGAGACCAAAATAGGTAACATGTTCATCTAACAATGGGATTATGTCGATTGAACATGTATAAAATGCAGTTACCAGTATTGGCTTTTCATTAAATGAGGAATGTAGATGGCTACACCTATCCACGTATAGGAATTCTTCATCCTGCTTGGTGCCAACAGGACTTTCTGAGGAGCAGCTGAAATGCTTTATGTCACCCTTTCTATTCTGAAGATGTAAAATATCTGTAGCTGGTTCTTCATCTTCTGAAAGAAACCCCATCTGCAGAAGAACACAGGCAACCGCTTCCTGAGACTTAGATGGATACAGATAAATGAAGTAACCTGAACTGTGAATTCACCGTTTTCTAGCAGGACAGGAAGGTCTTGCCTGAGAGCAACAAATGGACAAAATGAAGACAGCTTTAGGAATTTGCCCTGGTATGCCCTGTCCTGCAGGGAACAGGATCATCCTGATTATGCCCTGCTAAGTATTTGGACACCATTTCTGTAATGGCCAATGCTAATCTCAACTGGGAATGCTAATCTAAACTGTGACTACTGCAGTCCCACTCTCCCTCCTGACCCAAGCTGTAGAGCAATGATCTGCCTGTTGGGCCACGCTGGCCCTGAAGCAAGATGGCTCAGGGAGCTCACCTAGCAAATGCTAGCTTGGGCTGGTGGGCAAGGAGAGCTGATCAGTTTTTGAAGAGCTGCTCTGGTGGTGGTGGGGGGAACCCGCTCAACTGTATGGAATGGACTCGTGGAGTCGGAGAGTATCTGCCGGTGCAAGAGTAAGGAGCTGGGCCACGGCTGCTCCAAATGGGATTAGCTTACCACAAAGCTATGAAACCACATACTTAACCATTTGGGATGTGAAAAAAACAACAGACATTTTTATTCATTGTGAGCCAGACATCTGATGTGCTTTTTAATCAAGCAGAACTTCAGATACTTGCTTTGACTGGTAGCAAAGAAATTCCTTTCCAAAGGATGGATAGCATTTGAAAATCTACACTTCTTACAGAGCCCTTTCAAGCAAGTTGCTACAGTCTTTTCATGCTCATTACATGCAAAGCAAGTGGAAACTATTTTAAATGCACACTTTCAAAAATCTGTACTAAAAAGATGATCAAATTCTTTCATGTTGTGTCCAAACAATATATAATACGGGCATGTTCTGAGTGAACCTGCTGCCTCTTATTCCTGGAAGGATTTAAAATGCAGTTACCAATCTCTACTCCCACAAATTTATAAGTAATCTGGAGGTCACTAAATCCTGAGGTCATTAAGACAATCCTAACTGTACTCCTTATCCTGGGGTAGGTGCTATGTTTCTTGGAAGAATCGTAAGGGGAAATCATAAGGTGAAGAATGGTTTCATTCTAGGCCCATGCCAGCCTTGTCTACTGAAGTAGAGAGCAACTGACTTATCAAAGGGAAACACCAAATTCCAACACCTTGCCTGGATTACATTCACAGATACAGAAAAAAGTATGACAGAGAGGCAGTTTTCTGTTGTATCTTGCACTGATCTTCTAGTATGGATACCATCCACTGGCTAAAGAAAGACTTGGAACATACCCTGATGCAGATAATTAGTATCCTCAGAAGAATAAACAGCAGCATTTATGAGGATCTGGTCCTTCTACAAGGTACCAAGACAGATTTGGTTTTTATACTGAGATGCAAGGAAGTAAAAAAAAAAAAAAAAAAAAAAGGAAATCTCATATAGTATAAACTACACCACCCGAAAAGCCTGAGATCCTACAGACCTGTTTTCAGGATTGATAGATACCTGTTTCTGAACAATATAGCTGAACTGCATCTTTGAATACACCGACCCAAATCCACAGGTGTATTTAGGCATCTTCATCCTACCTATGCTTCCAAATCTCATTGAAGCAGCAATTACAAACTACAGGAGTTAAACCCCTAAATGCCTTTATGTCAGATAAAGTTAATGATCCACAAAACCCAGCCTCCTTTTAGGCTTCATAAAATGTTTAGTGAGAAGCTAAGATCATGTTATGGCCATGGATCCCAGACCATGCACGACATGTAGGATCAAGTGACACAGGAAGAATTCTAACGCACTGACTGCACAGCAGGAAATGGGGCTAAATGTGTCTAAAGATGGCAGCATTTTTTCCCCGCATAACTGTAGTTTTTATAGCACAGAAGAACAATCTTAAGAACAAGATGGGTAACACTACTCCAAGGAATAACTTGTTTGAGCTGATCTGGCAGACCTGAAAAAGAGTAAGCCTGAGCAGGGCAGTGATGATGGTTCTGCACTCTCCCTAACTCCCTGTGTGGTTAAGCTTTTTCTGGGTGGGATGCTGCATTTCTAGATTCTGCAGGAGACCCAGCAGCATCCTCTTGCTCTTACTGATGGGCATTGTAGCCTGTACTGAATACCATACCCCAAAGCTTAAGAAGTGTTCTTCCTCACTGTCTAGAATCAAAGAAATTAGTAAGAGGGAAAAAACCACTTGAATCCTGTTTTCATTTTAAGATAAGCCTGCCAAAATGAGGTGAAGCTACCAGAAAGATGGGAAACAGATTTTCTAAAACAGTAACAACTTTTGTCCTCTATAACTAATTCCATAGAGAAAGACTTCAACAGCTGAATTTTCTTGACTGACAAAATGAGAAAAGTTAATTCCGAAACTGTTCCAACAGCAGAAGCCAAAAAGGCCATTAGAATCTGGCCAGAAAATGTAGAAATTGCCTACATCTCTTCAAGCTCTCTAACTCTGCCTCCTGTTTTAAAAGGCTCAGTTGCCGGACAGCAGGAAAGAAAACCTTTTTTGAATTCCTGACCTATCTCAAAAAACTATTTCTAGCAACATGCAAACTTCTCTGTAAGTATGCAAATCAGAAGCCATTAAGAATAATCCTGGCCCTTAAAGTCCTAACAAGAGCAGCAATAGCTTGTTTCCGATGCAGAAGAATCTGTGAAAATAGCTTAGCAGTTTAAAACAAACAACCCCACATGACTAATTTCAAAATATGCAAGAACACATTCGATAACATTATTGTTTTCGTATCTGACATCAAAGACTGACATAACCTGAACCACTACTCTGATTCATTCACCTGTTGCAGAAGAATGCTCCAGAGAAAAATACAATCTTTAAAGTGAGCTGACAGGATCTGGGTAAGGTGTCTAGCTTTCTCAGTTAGGTATCCAGTCTAACCGATTCACTTCTACTCAAACTAGCAGCTTTTATATGGAAGCAAAAAAAAATAAAAATTTGTGGCTGAACAGAAGAACGCTCAGCAGTATTCTTAACAATATTAAAGTAATTAAAACATTTTGTCTTAACAGAATTCATGGTATAATACTGATTTCCATGAAAACAACTGCTTTTTAAAATCCTCTTTTCCTATTATGGGTGTTAGCAGCTGCCTTCTCTTAAAGTATTTGGTTATGCTTGAGATTTTAAAATTTGTTTTTAATTTTGAAATCCCTGCTAACTGAAGGATAAAGCCACCATTACCAGTAATATTCTTGCAGTTCAGCAAAAGCAGATTCAGAATTTCTTCTATGTTGCATTGTAATAGAACATTTTGAGATTGGTCTAAACTATAGCAGGTCAGAGTATTTAGGCAAAAATAAAAAGTAAAAAAAACCCCACACCACTGCTCCTCTGCAGGAAGAGATGTTCTCTGAGCAGCACTATTTTAAACTTCAGCTTTCAAAATAAGTTACGTCACTAAGGTCTTTCTTTGGATTCTGTGCTGTATCTGCTCACTTCTGCTGACCACAAGAAGTTTCGACTGTGCTCAGCCTTGAAGCTAAGTATATTTTTCCAATTGTTTCCCACACATGAGTAGCGTTACTAACTGAGGAATCTAAAGCCTATTGCTCAAATATAATGACCTCAAATGAAGTAAAAAAAAAAACCCAACATCATAGCTTGAGCAGATTAAAATCAAATACACTCCTGAGTAACTAATTCCAATCAATAAACTAGGCAAAAATGACACAGGCAAGCAAAAACGACACCAAATGACCTTAAGAGAATTTTTGCTTGTTTTGAAGTGACTTTTCCCATTTCTCTTAAGTGACTTTGTAATTCTTCTTGTGCCAGCTGTTCCCAGGGCATTCCTTACCAACACAGACTTTGTGCTTGGGACATTCGATGCCCAATGTTAGGAAGTGAGCCTTCATTCCCTCAGTAAACCTTAAAAACATGGCTGGTAGGAACTGAGAACGCACACGTGTGTTGCACGCACAGGAACACACCAGCACACAGACACACAGGCACATGCTTTCACATTTCTTTTCAGTGTACTGGAAACCCACCGTATCCCCCTGCTTGGATGGGTGTTTTTGGAGAAGCACAAGCATATAGACTAAAATCCTCTGTCTGGAAGCCAGCCCGGTTTAATGAGGGCTCAGATGCACTGCGGTGAATTTTTGGCAACGACCGGGCCAGAAGCTCAATGGAGGCAAGAATCTAAAACAAGTAGAAAATAAGTGATCAAATCTGTTGTTCCAAAGTTGTAACAGTCTCTTAAAACCAAAGGTAGAACATCAATTAGCTACACAAAAATATTTATATACAAATTTAAACAGAAGCTTTTAAAAAATAGATTACTGCATTGTGCTCTGATGTTTATATCCTCAAAAAGCTGAAAAGGACATCTTGGGAAGAAACGGTCTCATTTTCCCCTTTAAAAGGGCACACTGATTTCCCTCTGTAAGCATAATGAATATATAGATGCCTTTTATTTGCCTCCTTGTTTATGCACTAGTATGTATACCTACCCAGCTTTAGCAGCAGTTTGCTTAATACCATTTACCATAAATCCAGAAGGGGGAGCTCCTTATTTTTTGAAAAAGCTTTGGTTACATTCAAAACAACAACAACAAAAAAGGTTTCTCCCCCACAAGCTTTTAGAATCCAAACCTACCTCAGCAGGCATGATAAATCAAGTTTTGTGACAAAACTATCAGTTTCCTTTCATAAAGCTTGGGGGAGAGCAAGGAGGGGGGTATAAAGATTTCTGAGAATGTACACAGCAAGTCATTAGACACTTGTGTGTCTAACTGTGATTATTAATTTCACTGTCTCCCAGTTGAAACTTTCTCCAACATATAAATGCTTTTCCAACTACACAAGTCATTTTAATGCCTGCTTTTTGAATTGAAAATAAACATTTCTAATTAAACAGCCTTAACCAGGTACTGAACCACTACTCTTATGAAGTCATGCTATAGCACTCATCAAAAAAATTTTCAACTGGCCAGTGAGTTCACAACTGATCTTTATTTTTAGTATTTGAATTGTAAAGTCTGCTGAGAATTAAAGAGGAACATTTCTCACCTGTGGAAAAAGGGGTCTCTCATCTCTTTTCTTTTTTAAGCATTCTGCCATTAGTCTCTTCATAGCTTTTGGACAGTTGCTCCGTACTTTACTGAGGTCTGGAGATAGGTATCCTCGTCCCACCATAAAAATTATCTTTATTTAAGGCAAAAAAAGATGAAAGGGGAAGAAGATGAGTCCATAAAACAAACAGTAACAAAAGATGAACATTTTGCCGGACCATTTTAGTCCCAGCAGCAAGTTTTCTGCTCCAGGAAACATTGTCTGGAATTGAAATTGCCAAGTTTCTGAGAGTAATGCTTGCTAGCCTATTCAGTACAGTGAAAAAATTAGATTTTTCCTCCTCCTCCTAAGAGCAATTTCTGTGAAACTTGAACACTAGTAAATGGTTACCATTTATAGCAACGACCATCTAAGGAATGGTTCTTCAGTGTCAAAAACTGTTACAAAACCAAGAATAAGCAAGTCTGTGGCAGGAACAGATGCCTAAAAATAAATATACTGTAAAAGTAAATACTCTGTTTTATAATATAAGTCAACAGCAAGTTCACATGGAAAGGTATTTTAAGAAACACATGGACTTCAAATATTAAAACCCCTAACCCTTCGAGAATAAATTCCTTCATATACTTTTCTACCACAAAAGCTTATTGTTGACATCTGACCACCTTCCCACCCCTCAAAACAAACCACAAAAGAGAAACTGCCTCTCCTCTGTAGAAGAGGAGACAGACAGGCTTTGTATTTTTACAGTAATTCCTTTAACATGGAAGGCTTATATTTCACCTAAGGATAAAACTGAAGCATAAAACAAAGTAAACTAATTGAAAGCAGGAAAGTAAAGCATAAATACGGTTAATGTTCTCTCGGATATAAAAAACCCCATCAAACATCATCATGTCAAGCTAAGGTCAAACGCAATGTGGTTTGAGTACTGCAGTTGCGCTGACACTAAAAAGCCCTTTCAAACTAGCTAATCAAAGATCCATTCACGCTGCCGCAGATAATCACTACCTTTTCTGAACGCTCAGCCAGACCCAGCAGGTGTATCATACCTCATATTTAACGAAGTGTAACTATGCCGTATCTTAACACTGGCAAAAAAAACCCAACAGAAAAACCCCACCTCTCTACCATGCTATACATGTTATTTATACTAACACAATCCTGGTCCTTTTTCAACTTTCCGATTCAGTCGCATCTGTGTTGGCATCAAGGAGTATAAAACTCCCATATGGTTTCTTTAGAAATCCCCATGTGCCAGAGCAGCATTTCATAGTAAAGACTTGTCTACCCCATCCCTTACCTCTGCTGCAATGAGACTTATCATCATCTAGAAGTGACTCTTTTCGAAATAATTACACTACTTACATTGAAATTATTTAAAATTCATTATTATTTATGTTTCCAATACTACCTTTACAAATAATACAGGGATTAAACTTTTGTTTTAACTAGAGAAAAGAGAATATCACTACAAGAACAGTCTCAGCCTGTCTAGAAAAATCTGTTAAGGCGAGAGAAAGGCTCTGAGGTGTAACAAGAACGATGCTTTGCTCACCAAGATTCTTAATTATGTAACAGTAGCTGATGTAGATGCACCAACACAGAGCGAGCAATATCTACGTCTTTTCAGACGATATAGACTGGGAGTGACAAAACTCAAGACATTAGATCACCTTTTATATGTTGGCTTCACTTGCAATGTAAAATTTGTTTCTGTGCTCAATTGTGAGCACCGACAACACCGGGTTCATTTCAAATCTCAAAAGATAAAACCAAAACAGTTGCCCAAATACTGCTTTTAGAAGGCTTTATCCATCCAGCTAGTTATCTGGACATTTCCCTTCTTTCAAAACGCAAAAAAAAAAGTGTCACTCCAAATTTGATGAATTGGGATGAAGTGTTCTCACAAATATGGAAGCAGCCTTATAAAATGGCATTCACAGATGCACGTTGCTATGGTTGCAATTCTCAAGTACTGACAGTGAAAAAACAAGGGATGCGGTCACAGATACAACATAAATATATCACCGCCCAGACATGGAATAGTTTACACCAAAGATCTTGATGCATAGATACTATTTTCAGATTAGACAGGGAAATAATGAATCAGATATGCCTTCACAAATGTGCCTATCCTGTGGAGATATATTACAGACGTGTAGTATCATTAGACTTAAGGAATATTTGTTCACAATTAAGTAATCTTCTTACAGGATTCACACACTCTGGAAAGTCTTATATACTCCATCAAGCAGGATTTGAGAAATGCTGATATCCTGAAATTCAATTAGATGGTGCATGCATTTCTCAAGATTGAAATGAATATAAAACATTTGGCGAGATGATTGCTGTTCCATTTTGTCAATCCTGCTGCTGAACTATTATTCAGTGCAAACGGGGGGAGAGGAATAACTGAACATACGGAGGATCATTTTGCCTTTGCAGAACTATTCTAAACTAGATTACTATTAAGTAACCTGTTCTCTCCCTAATAAGTATCCTGGCAACCAGCTCAGAAGCTGAAAATCTATACTTAAAGTAAAAGAGAACAAAAAAATACCTCAAGAGAAGTAAATTGCCACTACGTGGCTGAGGCTCGTCTAGAAAACATAGAAACATAATCTCATAACATCAGAATCAGAAACACAAACACACAAAACATCAGAATGTGCATTTCATAAGGCTGAATCCATCCCTGTTCCAGGCCACAGCTGACTGAAGTCAATCCCTTCCCTTCCCTTACCTGGTCCCTGTTGTTGATGTTTGAGTAGGGTAACTGTCCAGTCATCAATTCATAAAGAACAATCCCAAACGCATACACATCCGACTGAAAGCTATATGGGTTTTTATCTTGCATCCTAATAACTTCTGGTGCCTGTACCATAAAAGGAAAGAATTAGTTTTTATTTTACCACATTGGACTGCACCTCACATACTAGGAACAAAACATGGACTTGTCCAGAGTATAAGAGGTGCAAGGCCCACTCTTGCCTTCAGATGTTACCAGATCTTAATATAGAGTGGATGTTGACATGAATCTCAAAATCCATTGGTTCATTTTAGCTCAGTGATCCTTTTATTCCTCTACAACAGAACAAAATGACCTTGTCTGGGCTGCGAAACTATTTTGAAACTAGAAGTCCAACACTGAGAAGAACGTCAACTAACAAAGCCTTCAGTATTTTCATGGAGAAAAGGTGAGAGTGGAGTTGCACAGGAGGTTGTAACTGTATGTCTTATTAAGACTTAAGCAAGTTGTACAACCTCTTGAGAGTAACCATGCCTGAACCCTTAAAACTTAGGAGCATCTTACTTTTGTCTGAGCTAGTTCCTTTGCTCCTTTGAAGAATGTTTTCCATGGCTTTTCTTAACTTCCCCTCAACCCTGGATTAACCATACCCTTTTTCCTTAGCCACCATTTTTTTTTTCAATTTAAACCTCAGAATAAGGGATGAAGACACTAAAGTTTTTTTGCTGACTAGTGGAAAACATGTGCTTAAAGAAGAACTTGGAAAGCATTTATTTAGTACTTCATTACTGCTTGTCTTTTCCAGCTTAGGAGGGATAGTCTTAGAAACTTTGGCCAAAGGCAATTTAATTTTTTGAAACAAACACACCACTTTACCCTTGCTTACCATCCATAGAATAGATCCAGACAGCTGTTCAAACTGATGGGATCCACTCCATCGTGATTTCACTGTAGCCAGACCAAAATCACCTATTTTTACTGTGAGGTCTTCATGAAGAAAAATATCTATGGGGGAAATGTTAAGGGAAAACAAACAAGCGATACTGGTCCTTTCCTACAATAACAATAAACAGCCACAGATTTGCAACATCAGACTTAACAGTTTTAACCATCCACCACCACTGAAGAAGGTTTTCGTATAATGCAGGTTCTAAGCAGCCAGCGTGGTGGATTATGGTACTTAAGGGTTACATAAATAACGACTGGGCCAGTGCTGAACAGACCGTGGCCCAGGTGGCTTTCTTGAAATGCCAAGTACTTTCTTGAAATGCCAAGTGTGAGAAAAGCTGAAAATATTCCATGAATGAACTGGCGCAATCTTTCATTACATGTAGAAAACAAATTATGCAAAAATCTTTGGCTAACCACAACAAAACTTGCTATGTTATTGCAATCACATCAATAGATTAGTATTCCTTACTTTGCTACTAGTGCTATCACCCCTTCTCAACGAAATTGCAATTCAGCAAATATTCACACATGAACAGTTTTTCACATCAGTAAGTTCATTTCTGGCAGAAAAAAACCCCCAGGAATGCTGTCATGTTCCAAAATCACATCTCTGGGAAAGGATACTATTACTCTTGAGGTCTCTGTGGATGATTGACTTGGCATGCAAATAACTGAAAAGAAACATCATCAATTAGGCGGGTTAAATATTTCACTAAACAACAACTCACAATTCACTGTATTACAGAAACACAGATTCTGCAGGTATTCAACCTACACATATTTATCAGGGTAGTAAAACCTCAGTTACCCATGACAGTTCCTGCAACAATCACAGGAAAAAAAGCAAAAATAAAATAAAGCTTAGATTTCCAGCTCAAACCTAATGCTACTCAAGAATGGAGTAACAATTATGCACCAAGTTCTGCTTTTCGATTCTAACTCAATAATCAGAATAAAAATAAAAGAACTTCAGTAGTTTTTGACATGCTATTCAGTGCTGAAGGTTCTGCCTCCCAGCCTTAAGGGTGACTGTCAGGACACTTTGCGGGCTAGTCACAGCTTTAGGTGAGGTATTTCTAAATTGCAGGAGCTAAATATGCTTCTCAGTCTCAGTGTGTACTCAAGTACGCTGACTGCTTTTTAGTATGGGACTCGAAAAAAGATCCCCTGACTGAAGACTGAATAAATAGATTGCAGGGAACAGAGAGGAGAGTACTTGCCCCACAGCACAGATAGAGCCTAAATTAGGCAACTAGTCTCCCATGGCTCTTTGTTTAGTCAATGAGATTGGCACAAACCTGCTGGAAAAGCCCCAATTTACATCTCTGCTTTGAATCATGCTCATGAAACAGCTTCTGCATCTCCACTACCTACAGAGGGAGCCTGGGGAGATGAGCAGGCTAACAGAAGGCTGAGGCTGGTTGCTGCAAACACCTCCCCACCTCTCGACTGAAAATGTAATAGAATACTTAGTAGAAAAATGGCACAATTAACTGCAATCATCATAGCTGTTTTCCAGCTGGAGGGCGATTTCTCTGATCTTACATCAGTGTTCTGATTTTGACACACAATATTAAGCTAGTTTTGTAAATTCTAACTCACTCAATTGCTCTCTATGGGAGAAAGGATTACTTACAGTCCTTAGAACAAAATAGGTATGTTTTCTTCAAATGCTGAAATCTATTATTTAGAGAACTACAATACTATAAGAAAAGAAGGAAAAAAATGTATTATTTTGCTAACAGGGCTGTCTGCCTTCTGTGTTATCTTACAGGATTCTGTCCTTTCGTTCACAGGGTGTTTCTTTTTAAACTATGTTTTACCTCCTACCGTAAGACTATCTGCACTGTGAAGATCATAAAGCCTGGAACAGAATCGTTTGCTCACAAGACTGAAAATTTAACTACACTGTAATTACCTTTATTCTACTATCTAAGACTGTATTTCCTTGGTGATACCCGCATTTTCCTATGTTCCAAAAAAAAGAACACAAAGTCTATTTTATTTATCAACATAATAAACACTTCACCAAATGCTTTGATCATCAAGGCAGGACCCTGGGCTTGGCAAAGTGAGCAGATAGCTGGCCTTATTTGGCAACGTCAGTCAGAGTGTGAAGGGGATAAGTAAACATTGCCCCAACACTCATTGGCAAACAAGTAATACGATACTTACTCCATGCCTTGTGCAGTCTGTCGTGCAATATCAATTAGTTTAATCATTTCAAATTTGGTCTCAATGATGTGTAGATGGTGATACAAGCTGGACCCCTCACACCATTGTGTAACGATAGCCAACTGGGGTTTTGTTGAATAACCCATGAAAAGTAGGATATTCACATGTCGTGTTTTCCTGTTGAAAAAAAAAAATCAGGAGGAAATCAGGTGGATCTCCTAACAGAAGTTGTTGGGACAATCTAAACTTTTATTAAGATAACAACATAACTTCTTGCTAGATTCAGTTTAATGAATTATTCCAGCAGTAAGCCTTTCTTATCATAATGACATGGAATAGCTATGCTGGTATCCCACCTCTTCCTGGCACTGCTTCCTCTTGCCTTTGCAAGCAACCCAGCACAGACGCTTTTATCACTAGGTCCCCATGGGACAGTGACGGTTTGTACACAGGTCTGCTTTTCTGTAACCCCAGTCCAGCTATGAGATGTCGCTGCCCATAAGGGGGACATCCAAAATGGAATTCCAGTCTCAGAGGCTTCCACTAAGGACACCCCTTTTGTTCAGAAACCATCCACACGCTTCCTTGACAAGGCTTCAGTTTTTATTTGTGCTTTATTTGACAAGAATTTTGTACTCTCTATGGAGCCAGCATACAAGAAAAAATGGAAACAGGTATGAAAACTGTACCGCAGTACAGTTATGATATGAACTTGTTTCCAAACAGCACTGGGAGACACTGGAGTTCATCATAGGTTTGGCCAGATTAAATCAAACCTATTTCAAAGGCGGAGCAACTCCAGACAGAAAAACTCAAGGAACAATGCAGAGAGGATTATCTCAGTAGATATCACAGTAGATTCAAGGCCTGAAAGAATCTACTGATACACTGTGAAGTCTGAAATATTCTCCTTACCCTCCAGGAAAAGTCAATCACATTCTTATTGTCATCAAATGGACATGAAGAACTAGACACCTCCAAACATACCAATGAGACATTACAAAGATGAGGCACCTAGGAATTCTGGAGTATTTCCTAGCTTTCCCAGGGGCTGAGGAAAAATAAAGGCAATCTTCTTCCAACACAGCTCAGTATTGAAGGCAGGCAGCTCACTGATGATGCAACATGTGGTAGCTGCTTAAATCTGTGCTGCTACTGAAGATGACAGAGATCTTTACATTTTCTTATATTAAAAAACTAGCACAGCAGCCTAGAATGTGAACCCCTTTGTCCTCTCAGCAATGCAGACTAGGACAGTCCTATACTATGTGACTGTGCCTTTTTCAGGTTCAAGGATTTGGCAAGTAATGCAGAGAGTAACTGACAAGTGAACAAAAAAATAAGCAGTTTCTTGCAAATCCTACCTCAAAGCTAAGGAAGTTATGATGAAGCATAATGGAAAAGGCACAACCAGGTAAATTTGGCTTGTCTGGGTCAAAGGATAGGACAAGTGACTATTTACTGTAAGTGCTGAAACGATCAACAACAGAAAAAGGCTAGAGTCCGGCTATGAGACTGCCAGCAGAAATCTGGACGAGGTATGAAATAGAAGATTTTTTATTTCATTAAGTTCTCCTGAGCAGGTATGTCCAAAATATGCAGAGATATCCAAATTAGCATATCTCAGAAAGCCTCTGCTTCCACAACTATGGGCCTCGAGTTTTCAGAACTAACATTTCCTGGGGAAAAAGGCTGACTATCCCCCTTTCATTGTGTAGCTTATTGGCGATGCTTCTCCAGCACAGGGGCCCAGCTCAACACATCAGTTTTCCAGAGCAAAAACCTCCTTTCCATTTTGATTCTTAAAACAGAATTATGCTTGAGACTGCTCAAGATTGTACTGGGATGCCAATGGTTTTCCCCAATAAATATTCTATTGTATCATATTGATGGATCCTCTTTTAAAGAACTGAACCCAAGACAAATACTTCCTCTGAGAAAATACAAGAAGTAGACATGAGAAAAGGAAATCAAGAAGTGACTTTATGAGAAAAACATTTAAAAAAAAAAACCCAAAGAGAAGTCAATGCTACTGAACAGAAACTATTAAACTAATATGGGCAGTGCTGTCGCTCAAACCCAACAATTAGCCGTGCTCTCCTTCAATCTCAAAACATGGATTAGAGGAAAGGCAGGCCTACAGTCCACACTTAGGCTTGACTGTGCCCTGGGGTAGTACAACAGCAAAAACTGGTCCTGTCTTGAGTGTTTGGACATACATATTCATGACATAGGTGTACAGACAAACACATACAGGGGAAGGAAGAACTAGCAGTGGATACAAAAAAATATTTTAAAATGGCAAGCTGTACTTTCTGCCTGAAGTACTATCATGGAGGAATAAGACCAGTGTGTTCTAATGGAAATCTAAAATTCAACGATTAATGAAGCATAAATCTACACACATTATTTTATGCCATTAAAAATATTCTTACCTGAGCACTCCTACTTCATTTTTGAAAGCCTGTAACTGTTGAGGTGTGGGTGCCGTAACATTCAACATTTTCACTGCCACATCACCTTTAAAATAGCAATTTTTAGTAAGTGCCATTGATACATATTCCTCTATTGAGAAAATGCTATACAGAGCACCAGAGATATTGAGATACCTATTTTCTAGCTTTCGTGAAATAAACCACTACAATATTAAAATAAGTAAATATTCTGTAAAATGTATAAACGCTGTCCTTATTTTACCCTGAGAAAATCTAGCCAAGTCAAAGCTTTCCAAATACACATTTGAAATCCCCATTCATCAAGATACTTCAGCCTTTCTAGTAACTATGTTTCATCTTCACCCTAATAATTACTTAAATTCAGAAGAACATGCAAAAGTTGAATTTCTAAACAGTTTGAAGACTAACATTACCTATTTAGCACACTACTTATTAATTTAAAAATCATCTTTATGGCCCTTCAGTGGACTCTCCTTGGTATGTCCATGTCCCTCTTGTATTGAGGAGCCCAGAACTGGACCCAGCACTCCAGGTGTGGCCTCACCAGTGTTGAGGGGAAGGTTCACCTCCCTTGACCTGCTGTCAATGTTCTGCCTAATGCACTCCAGGATACTATTACCCTTCTTCGCAGCATGGGCACACTGCTGGCTCATGTTCAACTCGGTGTTCACCAGAATCCTCAGGTACTTCTCTGTGAAGGTGCTTTCCAGCTGGGTGACTCCCAGCAGGCAATGTTCCTTGCTTGAGAATAACTGTTTGCCATGACAGCCACATACCATGCCACTTTCCTTTGTAGACTGTTCCAAATGACCCAGATCCTATCCTTTGTCCAACTGTGATCTGTCCATCTGGTATCTCCCAATCATCACTTGAATCCCGTCGACCAAGGGTTTTCTTTGAACATATGCATAAACAATAAAAAGGAAGAAAGCAGTGCATTAGTGTCTGTGAAAAGCAGCTCCTTTGCTGAAGATTTCATATCATTAAAGTCCTAAAAGAACTTTCTTTTTCAGATACTGCACTTGACTTTTCAAGCCAGCCATACACAAAACCTCAGCACACAGGTATACTAAATAATTTCCTGGCATGAAATATTTGCCACAGATTTCTGGCAGTGTTAAAACCAGTAAATACTAAGAAACTCTTACCAAAAAGAAAGTCTTATTTATTTTTCAATTCTTACTCAATCATAATGCTAAATTGTGAATTAAAAAAACGCAGACTTTTTATGTATTGTTACATCTGAGAATCACTAGAGAACTTTCAAAGTTCATGAATCATTGTGGGAAAACTTAAGCTGTTATTTGAAGGGAAACTGGCATTATAACATGAAGCACACCAAGGCATTTGGGTGCAATGGAATAAAAGTAAGTATAGTCAATTATTTAAATGATCTATATATCAGTCCCACAATTTCAATATTCCATTATTTATTGGTTTAAAGTCCTTGATCATTACAATATTCATCTTCAAAATAACTGAGGAGGCTGTCATGAAAGAAAAATGAGAGGAACACGGTTGTGTAGTATTTTCTTTGCTACAAATGAAAATAGCTTATCTTTCCCTTACCATTCTATTTCTGTCTTCTGAGGATGAGGATGACTTCCTTTCCCGTTGGGGTCCTGGTGATTTCTGTAACGCTTTCACATTGGTGAGCGACCCAGGCAAAGAGGCAGGAGGTGTTGCAGACAAACCTGCAGTTGAACCTAAATTTCAGAAACAGGATAATTTTATCTATAAGAAGCCAGCTTACAAGAATGTATTGATATTAGGTGCAAGAATTGTGTTTGAGATGCAGTATCTCCAAACATCAATGTAAATGTTAAGAGGGAACAAACATATACTAGGAATATTGTCCTAATATTAGATTAGTGCTCAAGTCTTAGGTATCAGGAAGAGACAAGTCTATAGCAAACATCCCTGTATACCGGATAGTCCCCAGTGTCTTGTTCATGAATTATCGGAAGGACAACGTCTCTTTAAAGAGAAAAAAAAAAAAATTAAATGTATTTTTAAATTCCACCAGTTTCTTTGAGAAGAAAAGTAGTAGCACTTTAGTTAGCAGCAGCTACCTCTCGGATTTCTTGTAGCTAACCTTTTAGGGACCCAATAAATAGCTGAAATACTGTACTTTGGGATCAAAATAGACTAAATGCAAAAAATTGAAATGTTCTCAGTTGAGTCTCCAATTGCCACCTGAAAACCATTTGGCTGTTTTAAAGCTATCTGTTAGCAGAGAGCTCTTATTTAAAAGTAAATATTGGGCTGTTGAAAGAATTAAAGAAGAACACATACTTTAGTTAGCTATTTGAAGTATATTCTATTAAATACAAAAAGAACAGTACATCTGTAGCCTATATCTTATCCCAACAAATCTATGCAGGATCTAACTGCATAGTCACTAACTGAGCTGTGTTTCAGAGACCCCAATGGCTCTTTACAAATAGAGCACTTCAACTAGACACTGCTTTTTAAAATACACCATAATTATTCGTAACAAGGTTATGCTGACCCTCCCAATGCAAAGGACATAAAATAGGGTCAACTGTTAATTAAATTCATGCTGCTCTGCTAAGCAATGTATGTCATTGTACAAGACCGCCAACATTCTAACGCCTTCTCTCACATCAGTGTTCTGGGAAGTGGCAGAAGACAAAACTCCTCCTCGTATTCCTTCAGAAGCCCCCTTCTTACCAAAAAAAAGTGTCTCCTAATGCCAACTTGAGTTCAAAAATTGACTTAATGACTTTTAAAACTGTTGCTCAAGTTCAGTCACTCAGTGTGTGCTAATTTATCAGGCTACATATATCCATCACGGCCTGTCCTCACTGAGCGAAAATCCATACATTTAGAAGTGGAAGCACAAAATAATGACATACCAACACATCAAAAATGGGACACAGCACCCATAAACTTTGTCCCACGTGCTAAAGCAACAATGATGCAAACTGGGCATCCTAACTACATTTACAAGCAGCTGGAAGCCAGTGACCTGAAGGATGGACTTTTGTTCATATTCATGTTATGGTCACTATACTTTCATATATTTATTATATTATTTATCTGAAATCACACGTATATGGAATCCAATGTATTATGTTCCCAGAACACTAGAAATTTTTCAAAAGTTTACTGGGTTACAGACTTCCTCTGTAATAGCAAAGGTCTACTAGAATGCATTTTCTTTAGAGGTAACTAAAGTCTCCTATTTAAATTTTAATACCACGATACAGAAACACTAGCACAATATTCACCCTTCACCAAAAATGCTTACAACACGTGGTAGGACATTACAGTTAATCTCTTCATAATAATACCAGGTGGCCTGTTTTCCTAGTTATTAGAGTAGAATACTTCAGATAATGTTGGACTTAAGTCATTAGCTTGAGCTCTGAAGCTGTATACAATGTATTCCATTCTGTGGCCAGTTTGCTTGTTGGGAACACCTGTCTTCTTACAAAGACTTCTGGAAGAACTTTACAAGTTTGTAAGGTGAACTGCTCTTGATATATTCTGAAACAGAAGTCTTTGAAACAGCCAAGATGGTAGCATTTGAAAACCACACTACATGCACTAAACTACCCATTTCTACATATATACATATAGACACAAATATTTACATTTCATGCTGTTACTCACTAGTTGGTTTCTCCAGAATATGAAATCCCAGAGTTTTTTGGGATTTTGTGCGATACAACAGATCCATTGACAGCTTGAGGCCTGAATTACCCCCAGAGTCAATGACGTGAAAATGGAAGAGTCTTATTTTACAAGGTACAGGGCACAAACAAATACTGTTTCACTGGAAATTTACTAACTGAATAAAAACTACATGGTCTAACCCTTCTAGGGCCCCAATGTGGTATCAATAGCGCATTCTCAAAATGAAGTATTTGTTGAAAGTTGAGACGACACATTACTTGAAAAGCTTGAGACCTAACAAGATATCAATGGAAATGTTTGTAATTCACATTGATTTCCTAGAATACTTTTCAAAACAAAGAATATTAAATATAGAAAACTGTTAAAGCACTGAACTGACTTAAACTGAACAGTCAAGGAAATTCTAAGTTAAGGATGTCACTATGTCTTTAAAATCACTGCAATGCAATCCAAGGACCTTTGTTTAGAACAACTATATTAAGGTCCACATAAAAACCTCAACTATGAAATTCCTTGCTTTTGAAGATTTAAGTCAGACTTTATTTACAGTCATTTTCAAGCGTGTAAAGGTGAAAGTGAGTATGTGTGAAAAGCACATTCAAAGCATTCCAGCCAGGCCAAGCAAAAAACAGAGGTGTTTTGATAAACTCACACACTTACATACACACGGTGTGAGGGTGAGGCACAAACAGCATCTGTGGTTTTACTTATTTTGTTTGGGTGAAAACAAGAAAGAAGAGCCCAACTACCTCTGAACACTGGGCCAGGCTCAAAATCAAACACTATTTCACTGGGGACAGAATGAAGGAGGGGACTGGGAGTCCGGGATTGGTATTTCCGAAGACAGCGCATCAGTTGGTTCAAAGGGGCTGTTAGAGAGAAAGAGACGGGCAGGCAGAGACAGAAAGACAGACACATAGAAGAAATGAAAGAAGTCATGGGAAATAACTAGGATGCTTTGACTCCTATTCATAGATTGCTTCTGTACTTTGAAGGAAAAAAAAAAAGTCAATTACTAATAACACTGTTTCAGGACTGGGAATAGCCAATTGCTTTCAGATGCCAAGCAGACAGTTTATGACCAAAAGTTAAAACCAACATGATAGCACAACATTTAAATGCTGGACAAAATGGGCAAAACTGTGGAGAGCCACACCTATCAACACATACAAAAATAGCTAAAATTGGCAACTTTAAATTAGTAGGCTGGCAGGATTAAAGGGTATTTCTTTTTAAAAAGTGTACTATTGCTGGCATAAGGAAAAACAACTCCATCAAAGACACCGCAGTAGGTAGGTACCATCCTACCAACTACCAGATTTGGATGGGAGAAACAAAGTCAGTGACAGCCCACAATACAAAACCTCAGAGATCAGGACAAAGTGCACTAAGGTAATTCAGACTTTACTAATACCTGAAGCAAGTTATAATTAGTAGGAGATGACTGTGTTAATGATTTGGAGTTGGAAAAACTGTCATATGCCTGCCCTAATTGCTGTTTATTTCTATTATTTCTATATTATTATATTCATAGGAATAAATACAGCACACAAGAAGCCCTTTCAGGACCTTGGCAGCCAGTGGGAGAAATGACTTAACAGGCCCGTGCATAACATATGAAGAAAAATTAATCTTCTGGCACTAGTTCTGACTTAACTGTGAATTAGGGCTGTGTGTTACTGAAAGGAACATAGAAAGACCCGGCTTTAGCATAAGGTCCTAACCACCTGGTTCCAAGAGTAGCACAGGCATGCAGTACAGCAAAGCAGCATCTTCAGCAGGGGTAGAGGGGGAGAAGAACTGGAGTATTTCATGCTGCTTTAGGATGCAGCAGTTTGTATGGAAGGTCCATCTACCACGTTGATGGTTTTCAATGAAAACCCCCGTTGTTTCCATGGGTGGAAAGGTAACAACAGGCATAAAAATCTTTGAGAGTTGGGAAGTTGTAGCGTATCTGTGTGCAGCCGTGTGAGTGAATGAGTGTGTGCGTGTGAGAGCAAAAAACTGACAGTGCAAGAAAATTTTAAAACTAAAAAACTAGATACCACTTCAAAACTTTTTCTCCTTCCGTCTCCCCCACTCCCAGAATGACCAGCAAATGACTCAAACCTCTGTCAGACAAATATTAAGTTCATGGACAAGCAAATGCAAATTAATTTTTTGTTCTAGTCATATTTTCCTTTGTGCCTGTGTTTTGTGGAAGGAAGTAGAGTAAAGGGAAGGGACAGAGCGGTTGTGTAATCAAATATAGCACAGTAGCTAGTTTAAACACTACTTACCTCCTTCTCCTCGTAAACCCTGGTCTCTAATCAAGTCCTATAAATAATTAAAAAATATGTTTAATTTCAGTATTATCATTTACATTCCAGAATCAATTGAAATTGATCCAATTGAAAATCAATAACCTCAGATGTTGTCCACAAAATAAAAGTTGTTTCCTACCCTGGCTTACCAAAAGCAGCGACTCCAATGAACTATTTATAACAATTACTAAACTTTTCAAAGTTAGTTGCTTTAAAATAGCATCTCTCAGTAGTAAAGAGAAATGTACACCACCCAAAATAGATGCTGACATGAAAATATTGATTTAAACACACAGTTGGCCAAAATGCACGAAGACGTAGCGAACCAAACGTTCATAGTGTTTGTGGCACAAAGTATTTGAACTGTCATATCAGCAGCTGGGACACCAATTTCCTGTACTGAGGTACATCAGTCAAATGAGTTCTGCTTCATTTTGTCTTGTAATAAAGCACCTCGTTTGCATAGCCAGGTGCACTCCGTTCTTCTCAGAAATTGCTAACTGCAAAAGGCTTCCTTCACTTGCAATCCACTGTGAACTGACAACATACCCAGACTAAAAGCAAACTGCACTAAGGATTTTCTAAACAGAAGAAAGTTAGAAAATTCTAGCAGTTTCCCTCTGTATGTCCATTTTTATCACCAAGCTTTTTTTTTTTTGGTTTCACAATTATTTTATTCCTTTATACACCTGCACTGCTGCCAAAAGCACTGTTCCAGCCTCTCAGCTGCACCACTGCCATATATCAGATGCAAATGTCTACGCAGCCACACTCTTAATACTCAACTCATTTTACACCTTTCACTCGGCTCACATGCAAAACAGATTTTGTGCTTCAGTGTCCAGGCAGACTTCAAGACTGCTCACCTAACAAATGACTGATTTCTAGAGAGCAGACAAGCTGCATACGTTAGCAAAATTAGAAATAGGAGGTTGTGACCAATGTTTTGAAAGGCCCTAGCTGGCCTTATACCTAGTATCAACCACTATTATTATTTATGATTCAGCACCCAGAAGTTTCAAAAATGTTGAGAACAAGTTAAGCGTCACAGTTTCTCAACACTCCAAAAGAACGCACAGAACAATATATATACTGGGCTCTTGAAATCTTAATTCAGTAAATCTGAACCCATCTTGCTACAATAATTTAACTTTCTTCAATGCCAGAAATACTACCTGAATTACAAATACTAAAAAAAACCCTATCTTGCATATAAAGAAATATGTTTGACACACATAATGGTTTGCAAGAGTGGTTACTAGCTTTCATATTCTTAACCCTGTGATACAGCCAGCAGCACGAGCCTTGGGACTAACAACAGAAAAAAGAGCAGTGGTTTCTGGTACAATGTTTCTTTGAAAATGAAAGGATAGGACTGTCAAAAGGCAGTTTCTGCTTTTGGAGAACAGGTCATTTGCATTCTTACAGCTCTCAGTAGCAAAAATATCTCACATAGTATCTATGAAGATTCTGAAAGTCCACGAAGGATTAGCTTAGAAACACAGTACACGTGATAAATTTAATGCACTGATATTCATAAGGGAAATATCAGTTCTACTATTCCTGATTCAAACGTTATTAATACTTACATCAATATTGACTGGCTCGATTGTATTGATGTGAACGTTGGGAGCTGAAGAGGATCGGTCACGTTGCCCAAATTGATTCCGATGGTCTTCATCTGCTGGTCGGAGGGGCTGTGGGATTGGAATGGATTTTGAAGGAGAAGGACTAGGGAGAATTGGTGGTCTGAGAAACAAAGTCAAGGAAAAAGAGGATTTAGGTCTACAAATGGCTTCAAATACTGCATAGTGGGTGTGGTAAGTCCTTTTCAACTATAATAATATATACATTAAAAAAACTGATCTAAAGGCCTGCACAAAACCAATTTATAACGAACAATCTCTACTCCCCTATGATCAATTGCAACAGCTCTCTGCTGCACAAACTACCTAATTACATGGCTGTGAATGTGTTCTGAGCTAAAACAAAACAAAAAATCCTACCATACCATACTGAACTAGTAATAATAAACCCTGAACTGAAAAGTTCATGTAGCCCAACATGCACTGCAGATAGTAAGATACTCTGCAGCTTCCTCACTTCAGAGTTAATGCAATACACCCTTTTTAACGGCAACCCATTGAGAACTAAAAATGCTTAACATCTCACATCAACATTACAGTCAGAAGATGTCACAAAACAAATGTATGGATAGGATTACTGTTCAGTGAAGAAAGACTGAAAATTACATACTGGTCACTCAACATAATTGATTAATATTCCGGCCAGTGTAATAAGAATTACTGATACTAAAAATAAATATAACACCTCTTAACCTCAAGATTTAAGAAATAATTTTGAATAGTGCAACATTTCAGACGTTATTTACAGTGCTAGTTAGGCAATGCAATAGATTTGACTTGAAAGATAAGCGTTCAGACTATGCAGACAAGTTTTCTGAAGAAATACAAATGCTGCCAACCATAAATGTAGATAAAGTCTTTAATTTATGGTATCATGAATAAGATATATAAAAGACAAAACATCTAAACACTTGCATTTTCCTTTGTACCAAGGCAGAATGTCACTTCTTTGGTTATCCATTTATTTTGTTAAAGTACAATAAATTGGCATTTATCTCTTACTCAACTCAAGTCAAGGTCAGTCACTGTTAAGTCTAATGATTCAATTTAATGGATATAAGGCAAAAGGTCAATGAGAAACATTTGCCACCTTCGTCAAAGAAAAGTTTCTGTTAAAATATACATGGTATCTGACAACAAGGCATTTAGAACTTACAGCAAATTCAACTCCTAAGCGAGGAGTAGAGTCCTCCGGCCATTCAGTTACTCATGGGTTAGTTACCATGCCCACAAAGGCAATGCCCAAGGGGAGAAGCTTCAGGAATAAACCATACTGCAGCATATAGCAGCAATAGGTCCTGGTGTCGCCTCCTGTAAGCACACGCTCCTTGGCCTCTCCAAAGATCTTCAGGGGCAACTAACATTTTCAACAAGATCTCCTGAAATTTTTTCAGAAATGGGTCTGCTTTAAAGACTATTACCCTACCTTTCATTTAAGAGTTTATGCAGTTTGGCACTGATCCCAGAACTCAGGGCTATCTGTATCCTCAGGACCTGTCATCTTTTCCTTCCTGGCGAACAGTCTCACAACTGAGAATGGCAAAACAGAGCGCTTGCGAATTCCTTCCACTAACAGTCTAGTAGGTGTTGTAATAAAATACTTGGATTATGTTTGGGAAGTGGGGCAGGGGAAGAATAGGTAACAGGTTTAACCCTGCTTAACTTTCTTTAAAAACAGTTACCGATTCTCACATGACAGAATATAAATATCGGGAAGATACTGAGAAGCAATGCACTGAAGCTGCCAATAGATAAATCAGAGAAAGGGCCTGGAACAGCATTTCAGAAGATGCTCAGAATTTCAGAAATATTTTTAAAAGCAGTTGATGTACATATGCATAAGCTAGAGTTTTCCTTCACTGCTAACAATGCCTTTGGGTAAAATCTCTTCTATTGTAGATGAGGAAGTTCTGAACTCCTGAATGTTTTTGTAAGGAAATCGTGCAACTAGAACCCACACGAGGAGATGGGACGCTGCACAGATACAAGTGCAGGACTTGATTGACATTCTAAGGCACTGCATTTTCATGTTAAGGCAAGCATGTCAGATGCTGCACAGAAAGATTTCAGGACAAAAGCCTGGAAAGTGTCTCAGCCAGGCCAGTGCTGTCATTGTTGGGATAGCTAACTCTTGCTCAAACTTCCTGAGAGGTCTCAGGAATAATGAAATTGAGGGAAATGTGTAACACCAAACACCAGACCATCGCACTAGGAGTGACTGTGAGATGGCATTTGAGCCCTGCCACATGACGAGAACAGAAGCAATCGGATTTTCTGTGATCATGAGTAAGCCAAGGGAGAGAAAACCAAATTGCAGAAATATTGTTTCAGTGACATCCTCCTTTGAGTCATAAATGGTCATCTGCTAAATACTTCTGTATTTCTGGTCACAGGTCATCGTGCCCATCATGTTGCTAGCACAGATAGCATGCTATGTCACACCATATTTGAAAACAATTGGAATAGCTTTTTCCACTCACTAAATTCTAACTGGGGGAAGTTCAGATCTTTAGAAAACAATTACAGGCTGATAAAGAACTCTCTTTTTTGGAGTCTCTAAACCATTCTTCAGAGGATCTCTGGGCTTGAGACACCAAAGAACCTAGAGGTGGGAATCTCATAAGCAGTTAGCCCTGTGCTCTATCTATACAGTCAGGATTTCATTAATGGGTGTCCTCAGGACACTTACAAAAAGGTACGTAACTTTTGCTAAACGGGAATTTTGCTTGAAAAAGGTAACTAGTGAAGAGAAAGACACAAGCAGGTTGCTAGCCAGGATGGCCTACTGAGATCACAAGCTCAGAAGAGATTACCACCAGCCTCTCTGGGGCAAAAGCTGTATCCTGATCTGCCTCAAGATCTTGATCAAGCAAAAACGTCACCACAAAGAATGCAGCCATCCTCTTCGCTACCAAAAGCCTGTTCTTACAGTATTCCTAAATTTTAATTACTCCAGGAGGGTAGAAGGGACACTGGAGCACAAAGGACCAGCCATCATCATTTGGAAAAGGGTGACGTTGTCTATTCCAGGTGAGTTACAAAACTAATTCTGTAGGCTACACAAACATAGTGCCAAAAAAAAAGAAAATAAAAAATGAAGAGGACCAGAACACAACTGCTGCAGAGACCTGTTTACTGTGGCATACGTGTATAGCAGGCTGAGGCTTAAAGGAGTGGCAGCTTAAACACCAGGATCCGAGTTTCTGTTGCTCCTGCGAACTTTGCGAGCAGTTAACAGCCAGCTTGATAGCTAGAGAGGACCTTCTACAAATAAGAAGGTCAATAGTCTGACATATTAGAGAGGTTATTCCACCTCATCTTGTACACTTTATTCCAGTCTCTTAAACATGGGTATTCCTTTAACAAATAATTCTCAGCTTCCCAGGCAACAAGCTGATAGAGTTGTCAAATCTCGATTTAATATGTTATAATCTTTCCTGGCAGGATGACAGAACATGCTTTTTCCTTGGACCACATATCTGGGATAAGCACGTTGTTCTTTCACAGAAAGAGGTTTTGTCAGGAGACAAGACTAATTGCAGACAGATGTAGATTTTTACTCTTTGTCAATCACAGCAAGTGCCAACATGTCCACAGATTTACTATTCCACAGAATTGGATCCACGGGAAAGAGGAAGGTAACTCAGAAAAGTGCCCACACATGCTATGTTATATGTAAATAAACAATTTTATAAAATCATATACAGTACCCCCACCCGATCTTAGAACTTGCAATGATACAAGTTAGTTCACTTTACAAATACAAAAGAAGATTTTAATACAGATTTTCCTTAATTTCCTTTAACTCACCAATGTGAGTTAAAATAAATTTCATATATTTAAGAGCTGGTCTACTCAGGAAAGATTTTTCTTAAAAGAGATTTGTTTGGGCTTCAAGATTTTTGCTTCAATTTTTATTTTGCTGTAGTTAGGCAAGTACTTAAACTGAAAATTCACATTCACCTAGCTCCAGTTGTAGGGTGTGTGCTGCTTCCCTTTCTAAATGACAGCACCTCTGCTGGACTGAGATTTTTCTTCTCCCCCTGCTAGTCTGAACAAGTGCATCTCAGTTTAGCCACAGGGCTCAGTGTAGTACATGCTGTTCACCTGGTAGACTGCGTACTCATATCCAAGCCAAACCTATTGCAAGCTAAAATGTGTATCAAGGCTTTTTTGTTTGTTTGTTTACACCAGAGTACAATTGGCTTTGTTTTTTGTTATTGCTGTTAATGAAGAACACGGTGCAATTCCATTTTCACGCAGTTTCTAAGGACTGCTAAGGATCTGGGATACAACGGTATTTCAGCTACACTAGCAAGCAGGCAAACTAAATTTTTGAGGCCAAACATATTCTGACTTAATTATTGTGGTACTCCATAGATATTGCCAGAAAATGAAGTAATTTTTTCTTTCCCCACCTCTGCAATAACCCCATTGATTTAGAGAAAAGGACAGCAGTACAAGTTTGCAGGTACAAGCTAACAAGATCAATCCTACAGCATCCTATGAAGGCAGTCTAAAAGCACCATGGGACAGGTCGGTAACAGTCATAACTTCATATGGATTAGTGCATTTTTCTATACCGTGATAACTTGTTTTCATCCATGTTGGCTTGTAGGTGAAAAACAACTGCCAGGATTATCACAACGGTGTGCATTTATACTGGCCTTTGGGCCCAGATCAAAGCTTAGCAATGGTTTCCTAAAATTTCTGATAGCTTCGTATACGAGGGGCTATCAAGAGAACCCACACAGTTGCCGTTAGTCCTCCAAACCAGGTTTCAGTTCACTAGCATGTTTTTGCAAATAAAGTTTTGGGCAGCAAGAGGTTTCCCCCACCTGTTGTACAGACTAAAGATTATTTTTTAAAGATAGTGATACCAGGCCTTTTCTGCTCAGCAACAATGCATATCAAGTTGGATATTATAGGAAGTTTGCTACCATTTACATGGAGTGATCTGGAAAAGTCCAGTGCCAGAATTTTTAGGGGAAAAGTTCATTGTTGTTTTATGCAATAAACCACAAAGCTTTTGCTCACCTAAACATGTGGGGATCTAAACGGTGTAGTACTAAATACGATATTGTAAGACTGTGTCTTTGTTTCCTCGGCTTTTCAGAAGCTTTTCTAGACATTTAAATATCCTCGTCTGAGGCAGAATGATCAGTGAACATTTGGAAGACAGAAAGGAAAGCAGAGGTGTTTAATCACAGGCTGAAGCCTGCTCTAAGGCAGGGAGTGGCAAGCTTCCAAGAATGGTGCACCAGACAGTTCCCCTTTCTTCGTCAAATGTAGAAGATTAAGCACGTTGTGAAATGCTGTTTTTCAAAGAGCCAAGATGTTGCCAACCTGCTTAACAGCAGTGTTCTGCCTCAAGCAAAGCAGACGCTTTCAGTTTCTATTGAGTCCAACCTGCCTCTGCGCTATTCAAAGTCTGCCCATGCACACCCCCTTACCACTCACTCCACAGGTTACTTACCCTGCCATAATATCAGCTTCATGAGTTTGCTGAGCTTTGCCCAACATCACGACATCTGAGAGAATAATTGGAAGTGGAAAAAGACAACTTTGGAATATTTTGAATGGCTAGTATCTTCCCTTTTCATATATCTTTAAGATCCAGGGAACTGGGTTCACTGAAATTCTGTGCTCGTTATTTTACGAGCAAAGGTACAGAAGAAACTTTATGACAGGGCAATGAATGAAATGAATACAATGTATTATATACAGTTTGCATACTTCAATTTTATTACCAATGGCTATTATTAGGGAGACCTACACTTTTAAGGATTCCTTCCAGTTAAGTGCAGATTATAACTAAAATGAGTGCTTTGGCACAACAGGATAGTGCAAACTGAAAGAACTAAAATGGGACAAAAGACCTAATGTGGAGGCTGGACACATTTTTATAAAGGGGCTCAGAAATGTGCAAGTGGGACCATGCGTGCTCCCTTATATTGGGGTGGAACGCCTGGAGGGACTGCCTATGACTTACAGTTGGAAGAATGAAAGGCTACAGGACTGGATTGCTTTAGGATGTTACACATGAGCAAAGCGAAACAAAGTTCTCCAGCATGTTTAGCAGCTTTTGCATCATGTCCAATGGTCTTTTCCTTTTTGTCCCTTTCTCTCTCCAAATTCTCCATTTGATCCCTTGACAATTTCTCAGCATGCCACACACGCCTTTGCTCTTGAGCTTGTCTTGCAACACAACCTCTTCCTTTCTTTGGGCACTTTGCCTGCTGCTGGAATCCCTTCACAAGGCTGAAGATGAAGAAGGATGTTTGCCTTCTCTTTCCTCAGGTTTATCAAAGGATTAGTAACATCCCTTCCTCTGTGGGCTGTGCCACGCAAGGTGCTAGGAGAACAGAGAAATCAAAGGAACAATTATTAAACTAGTAAGTGTTAATAAAGCACTAGCTCCTTGTATTTTCAATCCCATTGCCCAGCTCTCAAATTTCAATCCCTTACTCTCTTCTCAGACAAGATAACCTCAAACGTCAGACTTTTTTTTTTTTTATTCCAGTTGAACTGTTGTCCCATATTGTAGCAGTACCCTTTAACAAAACCGTGGGTAAGTATATGTTTTTATAGAAAAGGCCAGCTTTTTTGTTTTTAAACAGAGATTAATATTTCCACAATTATGTCTTTAAAAAGCAGATAAGTATTATTAAAGAAAGGCAAAAGGACAACTGGAGAAAGGTATGGACAGTGCTATATGCTCATACAATAGCATCCAAGCTGCTTCCGGAAAAGAAATACTACAAACACAGATGCTTGGGTGAAAATTGCATGACTTTGTAACACGCATACTACTTGTGAACACCAGCTGACAATCATAAACCATTTCCAAAATAAACAGTATTTTGTAGGCATCACGTATGCCTTCTTTCTTTTGGGTTAACAATGAAGTATACAGCAAGGCAAAAAAGCAGAAAGTAGAAAGCTAGAAACCTTTTATAGCTCCTGCAACCACAAACATTTACAGATGTGACACTTAAGAAAAGCTCCTTGACCTCAACTTTATATATGTGAAGTTAAAAACCTTAAGGCGTTACCAGCTTTGGTCTCAGTTTGTCCTTTCAGTTTTTACTTCACAAAACTAAGACTGCCCGAAGTAGTGCATACATTAAGATAATCCATCCTGTTGTATTCTCATAAGCTGGTAAGAAAGCACAAACGTGAGGCAGAGGCAATTGAAAAGTAAGAAAATTTAGTATGTACCAATATTAGGATTGGGGCTATACAGTGCCTTTGGCATACGCAGGTGTTTTGTTGGTATGAACAAGCTTCTTCACAGATTAATAGTTCTAGCCTGGTTATAATTTCAGCTGTATCATGAGAAAGGCAGAGCCTGCTCAGCTTAAAGAACTACAGCAGCAGCCTTGCCCTCTGCTGTACCAAAATCTATGGGATATAAAGGTAACATCCACTACTTGGAAGAGGCACTTCCAAATTTACTTGAAACTGCACAAACAGTACAAACAAGAACATCATCTCTCTTTGTACTTACCAAATGAGGATCCCTCTGCAGGACTGTCAATCTATTTTCCTGGGAGGCATCATATTTGATCTTTCAAAGTCTTGGCTGTTCAGGGAATTTCTCTTCTAGTTAAGAGTCCATAGGTGCCTGCGTAGCTTCCAGCTGTGTTTCTGCTTTAGTTTGGGCACAATGCTCACTATTCCAAGGGAGCCTCTCTGCCAAATTCAGTCCATCTCCATGCAGCACACATGTCCTAGGAATGTTTTTCTGAAGGCTTTTGTATGTGGTGTTCTTAATAAATCTGCATCAGGTGTCTTGACTTTGATACACATCCTTAAGTTACTCTTTCCTGGAGATTTGTTCAACTATCTAGTGCTGGGTGGTGTCAGTGATCTTTTAGCTACTGGGAACATATTCTAAACGTGATCACTTATCTCTTCACAGAGAAAGGGTCCAGAATCTTTGTTGGAAATACAGGGGATGGAGGCTGTGGTCAGTTTTAGAAGTCTAATTTTACAAAACCTGGATCTGCAGTAAACAGATATATTGATGTATCCCAACATCTAAATAGGAAGAAGACAGCTGGTCTGGAGGATACTAAAGCAATGAGTATGTGGAAAAGCTACTGAAGCAGTACTATGAACCTGGAATTGGCATCTGTTCACACCAATCTTACAGTGGTGTGGTAAATAAATTGTAGTTTGATAACACAAACTGAAAGAATTTGTGAGGATATAGTTTTGGTTTGTATTAATTTTAAGTATAAAATCTTTCCAGTTTAGACCAGGTCTAAGCTACCACGCAGAAGAAATCAGTTTAACAGGTAAGGTCCCAATTCTACAGACACTTATGCACATGTTTAACTTAGGTTCATTACTAATTTGTATCATTCATGTGAATGAAAACATTCACTTCTTTAAACTTAAGCATAGGTGGATATATTTGCATGACAAGCCAGATTACAAAAATATAAAGAGAGTTGCAAAGCAGTATTTTGAGTGTTTCTAA